GTCTCTGTCCTGAAGCATGCAGGAGTGCACCCATCGAAATACCAGTTTTCTACCGAGGAAAATAGAAGAGCACAGGGTTATTATTACTTCCACATTCAAGATACATCCTACTAAAGTAGACAGAAACTGGAGGTGCAAACAGATGTGTGTGTGTGTGTTCACAGAGCTGGAAGATCAAGGACATTTAGGCAGGTGTGAATGAAGCTGTGAGGACACAAGGAGGATCTCTTTGGGAAATGGTTCAACACCTGCCTAAAGGAAGGCTGCTGCTAGCTGTCTGCGTGTGTTTGCACGTGTGCATAAGTGTGCCTTCTCTTTCCCTCTTACACTTCTTCACTTGCACTCATACATCTTTCTCACCCTCACGCGTTCTCACAGTCTGTTTCTACCGTGTCTCTCACAGACTGAGGAGGCATTGTCAGTGTGATAGCCGTCACAACGGACTGAAAATAGGGAAGCATGCCGTGCTGAGGCCGGGCTGGTCCTTATCCTTCATCACTTCCAGAGTAACTGAACTCTGTTGCTGCCCCTCAGTGGTTGGACCTCTCACCTTGCTGCAGTGATGAACAGGTTTAGCTTCAGACCGCTACCATCACCGTTAGGCCTGATTACAGGTTTAACAGAAACACAAACCTGCTCACACAGTGATGCAGGCCATGGTCACAGGTGAAACCCGCCTCTAACTTTCATCAGGAGGTGGGAGCGATTCGCAGTGATTACATACGTCCGTTTATAAACGTATTTTTTCTCCTTTTTGTCATGTTGTGTTTTTTTTCTCGTTGATTTGAAAAGTTTGTCCTTCAGAGGGCCAGCTGGAAGTGCAAGTCATTTAATACAGCCTAAAAAATTAAAATCAAAACCAAAGCATAACTACCACTATTTCCATCTTGTGTTCCTGCCTCATCAATCATGTGAAGAGTCTGTTATTATCTCACTCATTTAATATCTAAACCATTTCAGCTCTTCTTTTAAAGAGGACTCTTTTGGCCTTTTGCCTCCGAGAGTGAAAAGACAAACATGGGGAAAGAGGAGCACCTGAAATGGAACAGGCGTGTTTCTAGGAGTTGATAAGGTTTGGGGCTAAGCCCCAGACTCTCTAGGACTAAGTCCCGACTACCTAGGGCTAAGTCCCGACTACCTAGGGCTACCTAGGGCTAAGCCCAGACTACCTAGGGCTAAGCCCAGACTACCTAGGCCTAAACCCAGACTTCAATTGTTAATTTATCATCTTTCTAAATATTTGATGCTATATTCTATATTTTATGATTAGTGCTGTTATTGCTGAGCTAGTCTGTTTTCCAACACATTCTATTGTACCATTGGCTGGGTGTTAAAGTTAGTCTTTTAAGGCATTATTTGTACATTCATTTGCAAAGAATATTTCTGTGATTGAAGAGTATATGCCAACAGTGTTTATATAGCACAAGCGTTTAAAATGGAAGAGCTCACTAACATTTTGGATAGCGTGTCAAATTACTATATTAATGGCCTGAATGTTTATTATTTCTAATAGCAATGTATGTTTTTTTCTCAGTTTAAGGCGACTCCAGGTGTATTCAGTACAGAAGGTAACTTCAAACCTCGTGTCAGTGTAACCTTAGCGTTAAGTCTTGCCCGAGGACACATGGACATGGACTGTAGGAGCCAGGGATTGCACCGCAGGTCTTCCGATTGGAAGATGACCGCTCTTCCTCTGAGCTCTGAACTCTGTCTCTGGATCAATGCAAACCACATCCAACACATCTCACTCATCAGCCAGTGAAGTAGCAGCAGCCCAAACATCAAACAGTAAAGAGGGCCATGGAGGCCTTCTCCTGTGAAGATCACGCCACAGACCTAAAGGACCTGGACCTTGCTGCTGATAAGCTACAAGTGCAGCACAGCCTGGGGTTACACTGGGACCTGAAATCAGAGCCACTAATCGTGTTCAGGGTGAGAGAAACATTTATCTTTACTTACTTAAGTCCTTCTCAGAGAACTCACTGCAGACTCTTCTGACTGATGTTCCACTGAAGGTAGAGAAGGTGACGTCCTGGGTCAGCTAAAGAGATTCTCATCAGGAGTTATGTAACCCAAGTCTCGCTAGGCCACAAACTGGCATGTCACCATCTGCAGCCAAGCTAACTGAACTGTGTGCCTTCGAAGAAGCTTTAGAGAGGACAATAGCTGCGCTGGCAAATATTAACACTCTGGATGCAGATGGAAAGTGTCACATAGATTAAGTCTCAAGTAGTGGTGCAACAGATCATAAAGATCACGGTTCGGATCGGAACTAAATAAAAGAAGGGAGCAAATATAACTTTCAGGAGATCCCTGATCACTTTTTTTTTTCGCAAAATGGCAATCATTGATGATCGATATTGTCAGATACAAATCTCTTTGTTGTTGGACTATAGCAGCTGGTCTACACCGCACTAGAGGAGGCCAAGCTGAGTCCTTGGACTCCTCTAGCTTTATAAATGCATCAGAAGGTTTCTGGGGATACAACGACGCTCTGATAGAGGGACTAATCTCACTGGAGCCTCCACAGACCTGGGAATGCCCACCAATGTTGATGGAAAAGATATGGAAAGCTTTCTCTCAGAACAGGGAAGTACATGGACATTCAACTAGTGCCCGAGTCGACTGACCCTTCTGATCCGTTCAACCTGCTTCATTGCTGACCCAGACAGCAGCCGTTGTCAAAGACTTATTCAAGACGCAGTGTCGAAAAGTGGCCATCTGACCAATCTATTTCTGTGAGCAATAAATGGCCTGCACCTGATGACCATTGACCAAAATATCAAACAAATGACAGTTTGGTCAAATCTAGGGGCAGTACGGTCGCCGGTGTGACATGAGCCCGACAGCCGAGGAGAAGCAGCTTCACACTCGTTGGGGCTGCAGAGGGACAGACTGATCTCCCTCAGTCTTTCTACATTCAAACACAAGTCAGAAAGATTCAGGGCTAGACAAAAAACATTCCCCGCCAAAGACCTAAAAGCCCAACTCTGACAACGGCACTGACATGCGACAAAGATCCCCGGTTGGAGTCACACTGTGGACGGTCATGTAGCATCGCTAACCACCATGCCATCGGGGCAACTCTCATTTTAGCTCTTTTGAAGAGGACATCAGAGAACAGAGACAACAGACAGGTTTAGTGGATGTAGCGCTGCTTTGCATGCATCGATGAGAGTGATAGATACATTATGCATCTGTTGCTTTATGCGTGCTGACTTAAATGTTGACAGTGATTGATCACAAAGACAGATGGCAGTCCATAAAACAGAGTAGCTCAGCTCTCCATCATCCACCCTGACAGACGCAGGTGACTAAACATAATGTATAGTCTTTCATTTCAAGATGAAAGTGGGAATTCATCTGGCTGGCCCATTGGCTTCCAGTGGTCAAACACCTATAGACGTAACAAATGCCATGCTTCAGTACTTTTTGTCAGGAGAATGATATCTGCAAGTACCACCAGCAGGGAAAACGTCCAACTGTACACAATTCATCAAATCATATTCATGCTGTTCAAATTATGAAGAATTATTATCTTTAAAAAGACGACGAGGTTGACCAAAACCCACAGTACAAAAGCAATGAATGAATCTGTGATACCAGCATGTATTTTAATGGAGGGGATCCACAGACATGTTGGTGGATCAGTCAGATGCTGTATACATACAGTATACTAGCAACTGTGTCTGAATAGCTCACGTTGATTCAACAGCAGTGTACGGAGAGATGTTCTCAAGAGATAGAAAAACTCACAGCCACACATTTCTCACACAAGTATGCAAACATAGTATGGAATGGAAGCTGGTTGAGATGGTGTTATTGTCTCACTCACACACACAGCCACACACAGTACAGGGATCAGTTCCACAGCATGCCTCAGAGCAGCAGCCTGGAGCATTCACACAGAGGATTTGCAGCATCTCCTGCCTGGAACAAAGAATTAATAGCAGCCTTCTGCTTCACAGTGCAACCTCCAGCACGCTCTTCTTCACTGGAGAGACTGCTTAGACTTCAATTGTCTGTGCATGCGACATCAGACATTGCACATCACACACATTCCACCTCAAAACACAGATCCCCAAGATCTCCACTGTCTTTCAAGACGTTTTCAGGGTTGAACACTGTTCATCGTTTCAAATCTTTTGACTGCTCTTAAGAGTGGTCGCTGGTGGAAACCTTTAACTGTAAAGCAGCAGTGTAATGTGTAATGTTTGCATCAAACACTCTGAGTGGAGTGATGAGAAGATATAGATAGCTATGAATAGTTTTGCCCAGGAGTAGTCCTCTCTCTGTGTATTGCAGCAAGAACATTGGTTCATTCCAAGTTACAGGGTTAAACCCTCTGAGGGTTGGCCTCATGAACAAGCTGTGCATCAAATCAGAGAGGACAAGGAAGAGTAAAGCTGCAATCATCTCCATCAGTACCCAACAATCGGTTTTAAGAGAAAAGAAGGTCCACACTTGGCAGAATGAGCGGAGTGCCCTGTTAGCTGCTACCCATTGACAAATGTCCCGTCTTATAGAGCATGGACACATTCACACTATAGCATGTATAAAAGGAAGCAGTCCAACCCAGAGCTGAGCACAAACCCCGACATAATGAGAAAAGTTTCTGCTGTTGTGTCATTATTTTCATTACCTCGACCACTGTGAAAATTGGATTGAAGTTTGAACGTTAGCACCCCTCAGTACTGAAAAACGGTTGAGTTTTTATATTTTTAGTGAAATGGGATCAGCAGGGCCTGCCCTGATCCAGTGCAGTTTGCAAACACAGTGACAACCTATCATGATGTATATCAGTAATGCAACAGACATAGATTAGGGATTGGGATACTGACATGTGGGAAATATGTTTATATTATGCTTAACTTTTGAATACATTGTGAAATATTCTGTTTAATGATCAAGGTAAAGTTCATCCAAAGAACAGACTGCACTGTGCAAAAGGAGTCCAGTGTTTGCTTTCAGTGTGGAGGTCCGTTCGTGTTAGTACTTACTACTTATAGGTCTCCGAGCGAACATACTCAAAAACATGGGAGACGCCCAGCTGGAACTGGTCTGCAATGGGAGTGACCCAGGGATTATTCTCTGCTTTAAACACCTGTTTAGGACCAGTCAGATCCAGATTACCTGCAGACACACAAACATACAGAAGAACCTGTTCACATTGACAGTTACACACAGCCACACCTGAAGATGTGCCGGCCACTGAGCGGCTCCACTGAGCGGTCAGATTAAGCACCTCAACAGTGGTTAAGAGGGGGACACCACCGTGGTGTCCTGCTGGTACAGGGTGTGGAATGCTGACCTTCTGGATACAAGCATGAGGAAATTAAATTTGTAACTTGAGCTCTTTTAGAAAGAAAATAAATGAGGAAAGTTGAAATGTTTGCTCATTTATAGGATGATACCGGATCCAATGTTTCTCCTCACATTTCTGTCTAGGAAGTGCACGCTCAGGCAGCTATCATCTGCTCGGTCCAGAGGCAAATAGATCACAGTGGTGAACTTAAACTCACTTAGACGGTGACGAGGCTAATGAGTCAGTCGACATCGTTGAAATATTACCTACTTTCTACTTTTATTCTATTCATTATTATAGCTCATTATCGTTCCAACACATTCTCTAGAGTCACCTCTACATTTCACTGTACATGTGGCAAATATGAGCGTGTGACAAATGTATCTTTGAGCTTTATAAATGTGGAACTACGCAGTACAAGCACAGACTTTAGCCTCTGGTTTATAGAGACTGCCGTAAAAGCATCAGTCAGTGTTATCCTACGTTTATTAGATATTAGGTAGCTGTTTGGGCTTTTGACTGGACTCCTTCAAGAGTGTGTGTGTGCGCGTGTGTGTGTGGTCAGTACCTAGCTCAGGGGGGAGGACAGTCAGCCGGTTGCCCTGGATGTGAAGCTCTTTGAGTTGAGTCAAATCCCCAATCTCCTTCGGCAACGAGATGAGATCATTATCCCTCAGACTCAACTGGACATTAGGAAAGAAACGGAAGAAAAACAGAACACACTCATTTAACACACACCGTTGTTTTTCCCAGCTGTAGTTTGTACTCCAGGTGCAATGCTCAGTGCACTGGACCGGTCTCTCAACCTTGGTGTGCCCACATGGACTTTCTTAATGGAAACCAGGGGCCAGATGCTTAAAACTCAGTGTGGAGTCACTACAACTGTGTGTACGAAAGAAAAAAAAACAGCACAGTCACCAGGACAAAAATGTTCGTAGGTTTCTGCAAAGCATGTGGATGTTTTTGCATTAATTTATAGTAACCTAATATATTCAGCGACTGTTATGTGTGTGCGTCTGTCTGTACTGTAAATGAGAGACCAGCAGGACCTTTTCCTTGTGGCTCTCCATGCTTTGCTGGTAACTCATGCATGCACTGGATTGCCAGCTGACTTGGCTCATTGTATCAGTTGCATTGACATGAACTTACTATCTGAAGCTTGGTCAGCTTCCCGATGTCAGCAGGCAGGGCCTCGAAGTCGTTGTCACTCAGATAGAGACCCCGAAGAGTGGCTGCAAACAAGCATCAGTGTTAGTGTGTGTGTGGGAAACCAGACTGGGATGTGATCAGCACAACCAAGGAAGCCCGACTCATCATACAGACCCTCTGCTGGTCAACAGACACGGCAGACAGCCGTGTCAACATGCAGTGGAAAAAAGGGTGAGCCTCCTTTGCGTGGGAAAAAAAATGTAAATGATTTCACTGTTTTTTTTTCATGTAACTGTAACAACATGGAGCCAGATCGCCGTTTCTGCTATAGAGTCCTATTCATCTCTTAATGTGAAATCAATACTACACTGTACATGACTAATGTAGCCTGAGGCCTGGCTCCCAGCACTGTGACCCCTTCACCTCTGGTACCACCTGCGTCCCATCATCATCAGCCCGCTGTGTCTCACCAAAGGAACCAGATCATTATCGTTAGGATAACATTCAAAACATCGACTAGAGCACTACTTCACTCAAAGTCACAAAGCAAATGACGAAAACACGTTCAAAGTTATAATCATAGGAACATGAATATGCAAACTTTGCTTACATTCTGTTTGTTGTGGTTGTTAAGAAGCCCTGAGGGTGTGTATTGCTGCTGCTGTACCTCACAGACTCTCTATCTGCTGGGTCATCATACATGTTGTCCATTGCATTGGAAAACCACTTTGGGTACTTTGAAGTGTTAACTCTTAAGACACGAGTCATCACAGTGAGGGGATGGGTTATAAACCCCATGCTGTCAGTTACAGAAAAAAAATTTGTATTTCCTCAATTTCAGAATGTGGATGAGAAGTGAGTTGTGTTGACCAAAACCCCTTTTTCTGAGAGCTTGAATCATACATTAAGCAAGTCATGAGTTGCACTATACATATTAGGACAATCTCTGGTAATGTTTATTGATTTTAAAAGAAGAGTTTGACTGTTTGGCAAATACACTTATTGGCTTTCTTGCCGAGAGTTAAAAAAGAAGATTGATACCTCTCTAATGTCAGTCCAATGCCCACCAGCCTCTCCAACGCTCACTAATACGTGTTTGCTTGATTGTTTGATACGTATGAAATGTGAGGTCTTACAGGGAGTTGCCAAGCTGCCTTGGCCAGGCAGCAGTACCCTACGGGAGTGAAGTAGTTTCACTTCTCCTTTAGAGTCAAGTTCAGTCAATTATATTCATACAGTGCCAAATTGAGGCTGTCACAGTGTCAGATTTTCACCACACAATTATTGTGGCTAAAAGATTTTTGCAAAAACAGTATTGTCGCAAAATCTACCTGTTCTCTATAAAATAAAAAAATAATAACAATAACCAATTAATCTCAAACTTTATTAATGCATTTTGTCTCCTTTTGGCAAATGAATTAGACAGATTTATGAATGATCCAAGAGGCACTGGATTACCTACGCCATAATATCAAATGTGTATTATTAACATGATATCAACATTTCAATGTTTCACTGCTCAAAGCCAAAGTACTATGCAGTATCAGTATATACTGTAAATCTGGTGACGCTAACTAAAACACCAGTGCAATACTCAGCTAGTCAGTGACACTCCTAGAGGACAGGATCCATCGGAGTGAGATCAATACACTGGATTGTTGAGGACTTAATGAGAGATTGCTGAATGTGAGTTGTGTTTTTCATAGGGTAAAGGACAAACAGTTACAGAGAAGTGTGAGTGTGTGTGAGGTCTGTGAGGTGTGAGGTGTATGGTGTATGAGGGCTTAGGTGCTGTGCAGCCGTTGGGGTTTGGGGCTCCTCCCCTTTGAAAATAATACGGTTTTTATTTATTCACAAATAAAAGTTATGAAGAACAATTCAGTACTTATTTTACAAAAAGGAGCTTGCACATGCTACTACTATAATTATTAAAAATAAAAACAATAACCTTCCAGTTTTCCACTTCCCTCTGTTGTAGCACACCTGAACTGCTGATGCTACAGTTCGGGCTGCATAAGGTGTGTCACAACATAACACCATGAGTTACACTTACAGACTGATGAGAGTGATGCGTACAGTTAGATGTGCTGCTGCTGAAACACTCGCATAATATGCAATGATGGATTCACAGCGTATAGAAAATGAACATGAAGTCTTGTTGTACTCATCTGCTTACTACTTAACATTAGCTCTGTGGCACTGAGGATGTGTGATGAACATTGTTTTATTATTGGGCTCAGTGCAACAACAATGCCATACTCTGTGTGTGTGTGTGTGTGTGTGTGTGTGTGTGTGTGTGTGTGTGTGT